TTCACACGCTTCTACCAATGTTCTCAGGTGCGTCATTTCTGGGACTATGTCGGCGAGTTGACAGCTTGTATTGCTCCCGATATTCTCGTGCTCATCGATCTCACATATGTGTGCGATAATGTATCGCCCCCGTATTCTGGGGAGAAAAGAATATTGTTTCTGGTGCTGCTAGCTGTGGCTCGAATGGTGATATGGACGATGCGGATGGAGGGAATCTTGAGATACGAACGCTATTCTCATCAGTCTTTGGTCGGATTCTTTCAGCATCAGCTGAAGGTGAATTCATAGAAAGCGAAAGGTGGGTGAAAGTAGCGAGCTTGGTTCGTGTGAAAGGGCTATCCTTGAGTTCCTTTTTTAAGTCCTCTGGGCGGTTTCCTATGAGCCCTCCCATGGTTAAGTTAGACGCTCTTTTGTGTACCTAGTTAATGTGAGTGAGTGTCGTTCCTGGCCTATTCTCGGCTTCTTCTTTTGGCTAAAATCAAAGTTGAGATTCCAAACCTCCCCAGTTTGTCCCCCCCCGTTCAGTCTTAATTTCCTCACGTCCACATTTATTTTATCCCTCCCATTCCGTTGGCTTCTTGATTCTGTATGATGACAGAATAGAGCGACAACTCTAATTTTTGTGGTGTGAACGGGTCCTACTTATATCTGTTATTTTCTGTTTTTGATTTGTTACATTTTGTTTGTAATTGGGATTCGTACCCCTCTTCCTCATTTAATATCATCTTCATATATATATATATATATATATATTACGAACATTTGAACATCGGAAATTTGTACAAAGGAAATTTTTAAATCATGGGGCTTATTTTGTAGGTTCCCTTTGTGTATGTGGTATTGTGCTATATGTAGGAGTAAAAGGTGAAGGATGTTTTCTTTTGGTAGATGTATTATTTTTATTGAATGAATGAGTCGTGAATCGGATTAGCTGGGTATAGGATAGTTAATGATGACCAGCCTCACCCCACTCCCCACATTTTTGGCCATGTGCCGCAATTATTCTATTTAACAATAATAAATATATACATCATTAGCAAATTGAAAACTAAGCCTTCTGCAAGTTTAAAGATTTTTTTGTGAGCTTGTATGTGATGCTATAAACTGTTAAATGTGTTAAAAATACATAAGTACTATACAATTACATCCTTAGCAAATTGAAAAATAAAGCTTTTGATTGTTTTGTTTTTTTACACTTATTGCGTATATATAGTAAAATCGAATTTTCTGTTTGGGGAGAGTAACCTTTTTCAAGAAGTTAAACAAAATATTGTCTTTTCACTACTTTTGAAGAAAAGTTCATCGATTTATGACACAGGATCATAGAGTTACAAAAAGTTTTAACCAATATATATATATATATATATATATATATATATATATATATATATATATATATATATATATATATATATATATATATATATATATATAAATATACTTTTAGGATAAAATGTGTTTGCATGCTCAGCGAAGTGGTAAGATGGGGAAAAATGCAACTTGCATACGAGGAAAGAAATGAAGTGCTTTCTATGAGGTCTAAAAGTGCGGGGAAATCTGTAAAAACGTCGTTAGGATGTCAATCAATAAATTAATCGTCCCTGTTGCCATTGTTCATTTTCTTCGAAGGCGCTGAAGGAAAAAACATTCTTCTACTTTCTGAATTTCTTCTTTTTTTTATTTTTCTTCTTTTATGCATTTTTTTCGGTTACCTTTTTTCTAACTATTTTTATTTCTTATTCATTTTTTCTTTTTCCAATTGTGTTAATATGTCTTTTGCTTTTTTCTTCTCCTTCCTGAGCCTTTAGCTTAATTTATTTTACTGCATTTGTTTCCTTTCTTTTCCCTTATCTATTTTCTTTCTTCTTTTTCTAATTTACTTTTCCTTCAATAGAGCATAGACTCTTTTATTTTGGAATATGTATGTGTGTGAAGCGGGCGTCGGGATTGCCGAAGGTGCCAATAGGGGATTTTGTTTGGCGATGTACTTTACACATTTGGTATTTTAAGTATGTGGTAACCCACTCACCGATGTCGGTGCCTTTTTGGGGGCCAGACAAAGCGCTCCTTGATTAACTTAACCGAAGCTCGTTTGCTGGCGTATGGCAAAACCTGTAAGTGTTCGAAGACGATTTTATGAGTGTGGGAGGAATATAAGCTTTGGGGACGTCTAGTATGATGTCACAGTAAAGACGTTTGTTGTTGAAGGGGACTGGGAATTGCTGTAATTGCAGTGAAGTGCTCGTGCGTAATTCTTGTAATGTTGAGTCTGACTTTTGTCTGTCGAATATTAAATCATGACTCAGTATTCTGTCAACAAGTGCATTAATGTTTAATGTCAGCTCTTGAGAGTGTATCTGCTACTTTGTTAGCTTTACCTTTTACATGGCATCTATCTGTGGAGAATTGCGGGATTTAGTCTAAATGTCTAATTTCTCAAGATGTATATTTGTTTTATTTAGTATTCCTAGCCGTCGTCAGCGGTTTGTGGTCAGTGTAGATGGCAAAATCTCTTCAGATGGCGAAAATGTTTGATGTCTAAATAGATCGTCAGTAGTTCTCTGTAGAAGGTACTGTATCAGGTTTGTGCTGATGAGGGTTCAGCCGTGAAGGGGATTGGTTTACGCTGGGACTTTAGATCTTTGCTCAATGTCTGCACCTACTCTTACGTCAGATGCATCTGTAGTCAGTAATATTTTTTCTGTGGATCGTTTGTCGAAGAATGACAATCCTGGAAAGTCGGCGAGTGCAGTTTTTTGCAGTGTTGAAAGCATGCGTGACATCACCCTCGAAAGTGATGTTTTAAGGGGTGAAATATTTCTGAATTTATTCGGCATAAATCTACGGTAGACATTTATCATTCCAATGAAACGTCGTAGTTGTCTAATGGAAGTTGGCATAGGAAAGTCCCGGATGGATTTATTATTCTCTGGTAGATATACCATCGAGATAATATCCTCGTCAATTATGTGACCAAGGAAGTTGATACTTGGCGACACATTTATCTAGACAAAAGTGAGACAATCTTTGAAACACTTCATTGACATGCTGTTTATGTGCATTGACGTCATCGCTAGCTATCAGGATATCGTCAATATATGCGTATAATGGAAGACCACGTAACACTTCGTCAATTAAACGTTGAAATCTCTGAATGTCGTACTTCAGGACGAATAGCATTTTTACGAATTCCTATGGCCAAATGGTGTGGCAACCGCTGTTTAGAGAATATTATCTGTAGCCATGAGGATCTGGTGATATGCCTTGGTTAGATCAATCTTAGCGAGTACCCTATACTCCTGTCGCAAAGTCATGTTCATGAGGGACTGGGTATCGATCAGGGATGTTTGAGGAATTGAGTTTGTTGTAATCGACACATACTCGCAAATCTGTGCTTTCGGACCAGGTGTAGCGGTGAGGCATGTCTGTCTAATGGACGTATGATGCCTTAGTTCATCATTTTCTGGAACTCTTTCATCGCGTAGTCATGTTTGTGTGATGGCAATCGTCGTGAGAGAACTTGCGGGCTGTCCAGTTGTTTTGATGTAGTGTTGGGTTTGATGCTTTTCAGAATCAGTATTCTTAAATGGTTGTGTGGTTTCTGTGTATTCATTCAATATATCCATGAACTCGCGATTGTGCTAATTTGCGACACTGATTCCTGTCGTGTTGTAACGCTACATGTGCTTGCTGTATTGTCCTCGTATTCAAGTGTGTCAACAGAGTAACTCTTCGTCGGAGTATCTAATCCTCTTGATGATTGCATTTTTCAAATTCTTCTATGGATCTGATTCTGGGACGTTTTAAAGTATGTCCACTATCTCGTCGACTACGTTTGATGGCAGGGCTTGCACCAGGGTGGTAAATATCGTTACGAGCTACTGAAAACATTTTGGGGGGGTTGATTGCATGATATAGTGGTAGCAGTTGAAGTGGGTGACATATTGACCAACATTTCAGTTTTGTCTTCGTTTGAAGCCATATTGGGTGCAAGGTGATTTACGCCAAGTAATCACTTGTTGCTGTGTCATTCGCGTCATACGTCACCATTTTCTTGCGGGTGTTATATATCGAATGATGGAAGACAATAACAAAACGAAGACTTGAGTAAAAAATATATTGCCAAGCTTATTTTTCTTAAACAAAATACATAAACATAAATAATGTTATAATGCACTAGATAACTCTACAAGCTCATACAGAGGGTGAGAATACCTTTACCCTGAAAAGAACAGTTTTGTAATTTCTGAAGAGTGTTGTCCTGAGAAGGACAGTTTATTACATATCGTTACTGCTGGCGAGGAGGGCTGGAGCAGAAGCCTGTTGGAGCTGGATGTCTAATGGAGCAGGTGGCCGTTAACAAGCTGGAGATGTTGTTGGCTGGCTATAAGTTGATGTAGCAACAGATACTCCTCTTTTGATCCGTCATATTGACCGATCAACGCCTTTTATAATGCTATTATATCCTGAATCAGTTTAACACCAATACTGGTTATTCTTTTTTCCAGCTATTTTTAACAAATGTGAAAGTACTGACAGGATGCGATTCATAGATGGTTTTGGCTCTACGCCATTTCCTTTTTACTTTTAGGATAAGGGAATTGTCATGATATCTTGGAAAAGACAGTGCAGTGATTTCTCTTTGCCTTTTCAACCTTTCTAATTTCAAAGTTGTCCTTCTCCTGGAGCGTTTGCCTTACCAAGTCTAAAGAGTCCAGTTTACCCTACGATTAGCATAAAGTGAACGCAAATTCTTGGACGAAATTTGGATTCAAACGGAATTTGTACTCGTCCTTCCAATTTCATTTGCCACATCGATTAACAAGTAATTTCTTTACACTTAAAAAATTCTCACTCCGTCTGCGTATCTCTTTCTATTTTCCTCCCTATACTTGTATTTTTTAATCTATCATTAGCATTTTCTTTTTTCTCTTTTATACATATATATATATATATATATATATATATATATATTCTCTTTTCTCTCTTTTTTCTCCTTCATGTTCGATTTCGTCGCATTTTTTCTTCTCTCTTTCTCTCTCTCTCTCTCTCTCTCTATCTATCTATCTATCTATCTATCTATCTATCTATCTATCTCTTTCTTTCTTTTTTCTCCTTCAGGATCGGTTTCGTCTTTTTTCTGTACATTTCCCTCCTGCCGCCTTCTTCCTTTCTTTCTTTTCTTTCATGATCGGTTTCGTCGCATTTTTCTTTACGTCTTCTCTCTCTCTCTCCCTCCCTCCCTTTCTCTCTCTCTCTCTCTCTATCTATCTATCTATCTATCTATCTATCTATCTATCTCTTTCTTTTTTCTCCTTCATGAGTCGTTTCATCTTTTTTTCTGTACATTTCCCTCCTGCCGCCTTCTTTCTTTATTTATTTATTTATTTATTTATTTATTCTCCTTCATGATCGGTTCCGTCTCATTTTTCTTTACGTTTCTCTCTCTCTCTCCCTCTCTCTCTCTCTCTCTCTCTCTCTCTCTCTCTCTCTCTCTCTGTCCGTCTCTCTGTCTGTCTGTCTCTTTCTTTCTTTTTTCTACGCTTGGCTTCTCTTCACTCTTGTTCTTTCTATTTTTCGCTTGTATTACTTTATATTCTCTTTTCTTTTATCGTCTCTTTCTCTTTCTTCTACTTTGCATCTCCCAAATTATTCTTTCTTCTTTCTTTCCCCTCCTTAATTATATTCCTCTTTTCTCTTTATTTTTGTCATCCTAATTTCCTTATTCGACATTCCTAACAAAAAGAGGAATGGCTTCAATTGACATGAGCAAAAGTACATGTATACTCACGAAATCTTGTTTATAAGGAAAAGAAAAATTAGGACATGCATGCGAGTAAAAATCGACCAGTAAATTGTTTACGCAAGTAAATCTTTCTTGATGGGGTAGTTGGTTTAAAATGGCGAACCTAGTGACATGAGGGAGATTAGGTTTCAAAATAGATTTTACGTGTTTATATTATTTTTTAACTTCATTTAGCACTTTCTTTTATTGATTCCAACAGCATACATAGACTTACACACATTCACTTATTATCTGAAACTTATTTTTATTCAATACGTTTATATATGTGTGAATTTACATTTAATTATTATTTGTACTTTTTTATGTAAGATTCTTCTATGGCTCTACATTTTAGTTGTGCATACGATTGCCACTATCATTGATACATATAGTCATGCACATATAAATAATACAAATACCCATATACATCTTATGTATAAATACAGTGTATGTGGGTGTGTTTATGCATGTGTGTGTCCAATTCAAAAGCTCTAGAAAAGTTAGGCACGGGGAACGATTTTCAGGTTGCCAGATTATGCGAGGTTACAAATATATATTGATATATTATATTCAATAATATAGGTTTTACTTATTAAGTTATGTTTCTCTAACTCTTCAAATGTTGAATTTATAACTAATTCCAATTTCTATTTTCCCATCTTTACACTATATTAATTTTATCTTATAAATTGTCCCCTGTTCTGTCCCCCATAAAATAAAAATAATTGTTTGTACGGAAAATAAGGATCTAAGTACATCAATTTTTTTCTTCTTTTATTCTTCCTTCATCTTTTTGATATTCATATTTTATCATTCATTTATTCTGTATTCATTGTTCTTTTATTCTTTATTTATTATTATTTATTTGGTTTTTATTTTTAATTCCTTATTCTTCTATTCTTATTCTTTTCTTTCTATTCTTGTTTTATTATTCACTATTTTTTTAATCTGTTGTTATTCTTTATTCTTTTATTCTTCCATATTTTATTCTTTTATTCGTAACACGAAAGCAAAAGGTAAATATTGTTTATTTGTAGATTTTTAATTTCGTGCACTTAAGAAGCGCAATTAGGAATAAATAAAAAATATATCGTATTCTTTTTAAACACTAGAGTTTGTTAATTTTTTTCCAATGATTTAGTCCAATTCACCATCAAATGATCAAACTTTACTTTATGCATAAAGAAAGCAAAATTAGTAAGCTAATCGCATATAATGATTCTTTGCATTCAGTTCCCAAATTGTTCAGCATTCACTTCCATAACGGAAGACTAATATTAGACATCAGTTAAGTAATCTTTTCGATATTCCTAACTATCCTATTATAATTTAGCTTGTCTCTCCCTTTGTTAGTTCGCACGACCGTTACTCCCTGCCTATACCTTGGTTTCAGTGAGAAAAAGAAAGAAAGATGTGTTTTATGTCTCATTCGAATGCCTTATAAATAATGGACTATTCCGTTTTGATCGCGATGAAAGAGAGGAAAAGACACTACTTGGTTTCAGTGAGAAAAAGAAAGAAACAAACAAACAAAGATGTGTTTAACGTCTCATGCCAATACCTTATAAATAATGGACTCTTCCATTTTTACAGCGTGGAAATAGGGGAAAATAGACTACTTGCTTTCAGTAAGCGAAAGAAAGAAAGAAAGAAAGAAAGAAAGAAAGGTGTGTTTAACGGTTGTTTTAGTGAAATATAAAAAGTTTTCAATTTAAAATCTTTTCATTTGTAACCAATTCTTAAAATAACGACGAGCATTCTTATTTATGATTGTAATTGTGATACTTTGTTATTAAACTAAAATATTTAACGATGCGATAGGGAAATTTCTATGGATAATTTATTGTCATAGAACTCGCCATGAGCTTATTCAATCATTAATTTTAGATTTAAGACTAGCAGCATGGCCCGGCGTTATCCGTGCTTGATTCAAAAATCGTACGACTCATACAACAATCGCTATCACTTGACTTTTTTTTTGCCCTTCCTTGCCTTTAAAGGAGTGCCTTTTGCCGTGTTGATGTTGCTACATGCCTTACTTATTGCCTATCTCACACTGCGAATTTTTTCTAAGCTCTATATTAAATATTAAATCTGTTACGAAAAAAGGACTAAACAAAATGAACAGAAAACGATCAGCTTTAAAAAACGACTCATAACTGGAAAAACCGAATGAAAAAAGAATGTTAACAACAAATACTTTTTCACACCCAACCCAGTTCTGCGGAATCAGAATCAACGTTGAGTTTAAGCAAGCGAATGAGCCAATTGGAGTAAAATGTCATGCAGATTTAAATTTTTCCCACTTGTGACGAATGCAGCTATCGAATTTTTTGCATACTAGCATGCTAGTTAACATTCGTGTCAGTCAGCTGTTGGCTCTCACGCTGGCCAATAGAATCTTCCTACCTATTCGTGGCAGCCAGCTATAGGCTCTCACTCTGGTCAGTACAAAATGGCCGCAAACTACATGGAAATTGCCGTAGAAGAATGAAAAAATCTATTATTTCCACTATCGATGGGAGTTGAGAAATGCAAAGTTAGTCTTGGCTTTTCTGCTAACTTGGAGCATGTGCATGTAAATTTTGGGGCAAATCCGTCGAAAATTGCGGCCGTGCATTCGTTACACAAACACACACACACACACACACACACATCCTGCCTTTTATAGATAGAGATTAATCAGAATATAAAAATGTGAAAACCATCGTCGCTTTTATTTAGATTTCCTCACCATCTTGATATCTGGGATTTAATTTTTTTTAGGCGAAAATAGACACAATGCGCAAGATCTAGGAAATATAGTGGTTGTCGGACCTACGGATCGTTTTCTTTGGCCGCAAAATGGTGCGCACGACATGTTGCGGTGAGACAATAACACTCGACACACTTTCCTTTCAAGCACTGATATAAACGTAAGTGACCGAGAACGTTATAAGTGTGTATGCACGACAGACTTCAAGAGTAAATTGTGCCGAGCGGCTTCACTGTGTACTTTTACTCCGTTACTATACCAACAGTCCAGATAATTTTGGAACAGACCTCGCATATATATATATATATATATATATATATATATATATATATATATATATATATATATATCAGGTGCACCATATAATCCATTGAAATTGACAACGTTCTAAGGGATACGATCCCGGAAACGACTGCCTGCTCAGATCAACTGGTCCTCACTCATGTCTCATGTCAATGACGTCCTTAATTCCATTCAGTTTGGGGACCGATGGTGGTTTTCTCCATGAACAGCGCATCAGATGTTAAAATCCAGAGGGTTCAAATCAATAAAGCTAGATTACATATTGGAAACTGACACGAACTTGAAACTCAACAGAGAATCGTTCCTGTGTCTCGAGGTGGTGTAGTGGGAAACAGAGTTCTACTAGAATATGGATGGCCGTGTCCATTTTTTTTTTTAATCAAGATCACCTCATGTAAATAGTAAAATCACTGAGAGACAAGGAATTACAAGTTGTGGAAGAGTTAGAAACAGAAATATTTCTAATGGGCGAGAACAAAATAAGAGTAGACAGGAGGACAGTAGATAACGATTGACACTGCATTTAAATTTTTACAAATTAAAGTTGGCTATAAAGCATAGAGCCGGAAGGGTGTTCCACGAGCAAGAAGCGCGAGAAAAGAAACTGTTAGCATAGAACCTACGGTTACATTTAGCCAATTGAAATGTAAATTGACGATATCTCGTCTCCTGTCTAGTACTTCGCTTAAATTCAAAGAGTCTAGGAACTATAGCGAAGAGCTCATCCGAGTACTCAGCATGATAGTATTTATAGAAAAAACACAGGGAGGCAACCTTTTGGTGGTGGGAAAGTTACTGAAGAAGAGACATCAAAACAGGGCTAATAATATTACTGATCCTTCTTTGGATTTTATCATGGAGATCTAGATAAATAGCAGGATCATCGCATCATATTTGGCAGCAATATTCTAAGCATGAACTTATGGTAGACTTATAGATATGTAAGATAGATTCTGGAGAGAAAACTTGTCTAACACGACAAAGTGAACCAACTATCCCAGAAGTTGACATAGCAATGGATTCGATATAATCCTTCCACATCATATCAGCGGAGAATGTTAGTCCGATAAAGCGCAACGAGTCACTTTCCAGGAGATCAGCATCAGCCATGCTGATGGAAGACAGATGAGGGACTCTCATGTTGTTAACAGAAACCAGTTTAGATTTGGCGGCGTTAAAGTAAACAAACAACCCTTTTCAGCGGTTAACAACAGTCTGAAGGTCGTTTTGGATATCAGCTGCCATTTTGACCTTATCAAACTGATCAGATTTACTATCGTAAATGGTTGTGTCATCAGCGTAGTTGCCATGGGGAAAGTCAGTAGAAGCAAGGATAGGAGGATATTTCCATTAGTACGAAAGTAACTGAAAGAGTGGCCGTTCAGCATTATTTTCATTTCATTTGGTTGACAAGTTTGTATGTCAAATGCTTTCGAGATGTCCAAAGCTACAATCCGGATTTAGAGATTGATAGCCTCTTTCTGTAATTATCGTCAGTACATCAGCAGTTAACCTGGAGAAACGAAAGCCATATTGCTTGTCCAAAAAAAAGACCCTACAATTTGAGAGGGTTAACCAATTCAACATTGATTAGGGCCTCTAGGAGTTTCCCAAAAGGAGGTAAAAGACTAATAGGTCGATAAATGGAAGGACTGGACAGTTCACCAGACTTCTTAAAATCTAGAACAACAGATGAAGCAGGCAGGAAAGAAGAAGTGGCAAGGTAATTGTAATACAGTTTAGAGAGTATCTCGACGGACGAGATTGCATCGAGCCTAGTGTCATACAAAAAGTTGACATGTTATGGCTCTAACTGCTCACGAATCACAAATCATCACCGCGAGTACCACCGTAGTGTTCGTGTTGAATCATCA